TGTTCCTCCCAGCTTTGTGTTATCTAGAAACCTGATAAGTTTGCTGTCTATCCCTTATCCAAGGCATTGATAACAATGTTAAAACCTTCTGGGCCCTAGCACAGCTCCCTAGGACTTCTATTAGACAAACTACTTCATTCCCAGTGGACATGAACAACTGCTCTGAATCCTGTACCATCATCTGCCCTGTTATTTCCATTGGGTAGCATGAAGTTTGGATGAATGTCTTGATGTAATCTAGGAAAACTATTTATCTTACCTTGATCTACCAGTCTAATAACCTTGTCAAAACAAGGAAATTACCTTAGTCTGACATAACTTCTTTTTGATGAAAACATGCCAGTGAATATTGCTTCTCACAATCTTGACTTTTTCCAGGAATCCAGGGCAAGCTCATTGACCTTAGTTCTCAGGGTCCATTTTTGTCTGTCTTTTAAGAATTGGGTCAGTTTTCCTTTTCTAGACTAATGATACCTCTCTTATTCTCTACAGTTTTTCAGAGATAACAGTCACAATTCAGCAGACATGTCCACCAGATCTTTCCATGTGGATCAGTGGAATTCATCCAGGCCCAGTACTTAGACTTCTTAAAGGCACCAGGACATTTTCTTACTTGCTCACTATTTGTCTTGGGTTTTAACTCCCCGTTAGCCATTTTTGTTCTTTTCAGCCCAAAGATAATTTTTTTTTGGTCAGAAAAAAAGCCCAAGCAAAATAAAAGTTGGACAGCTTCACTTTCACTCAGACAGTTGTCATCATGATTAGATGAATAAAAATTTTAAAAAGTTTTGGTGCTAAAAAAAAAAAAATTTTGATGCTTACAGTAATGAATCCTCAGCTTTCAGAACATTTTGCTTAGTCCCAGTGACTTAGTCTCCAAGGTTCTGTTTAGCCAAGGACAGGGACTGTTGCATTTTGGTCTTGATCCAGTGTCTGGCACCTAGTAGGTGCTTAATAAATGTTTGTTGATTGCTCATTCCATCTACCCTAGTCCACAGTCCCACTCCATCTTGTGTTGTCAATACAGCTAAACAAAATCCTAAGTGTTTTTGTTGTCTTTAGTTTCTTGACCTGTCTTAGCTCTTTCTGAGCTTGAGCTCACAGGTATACATGGGAAAATAGTTACAAAGAATGTGTGAATGGGAGCATAGTTTTAGGACTCTCCAAGCACATCAATATGCAAAGAATTTTTCCCCTTCTCTCCCCCTCCCCCCCCCATCCCAGTAGAATATGTTTGCATGGCATCCTGGAATCTTTCACAACCTGAAACTATAAGTTTCCTTTGTTGCTGAATCCTGCTATGGCCTCACCGGCAGCTTTGTAGGGTAGAGAAGGTGATTGCAGTGAAAGAAGGGAAGACCCAGCTTCTCAGAAACTTCCAGGTCTTCGGTGCTCTCCCAGATTTTCCTTCCCCACCTTCCCAAAGAGATTAAAGCATTTCTGTTGGGGACTTCCAAATATGAAAAGCTTTCTAGGGAAGGGTGTGTTCAATAGAATATGCAAGTGATTTTCAAGTGATATAATCAGGGCTTTGGTCACAAAGAATTTCTGTTCTCATTCCTACTAATTCAGTTAGATTGAGGACCTTATATGTGAGAAGCATTGTCCTAGACAGGGATCCAGAGAAACCTCGCTTTCCATAGAGCTTCTCTGCTAATGGGGTGGCAGATTATAACTAGTACTGTCAGTCCAGGTAGTGCAGAGGAAGGAGTACTAGCAACCGGGGGCATTTGTTCATAAAATCATTCAACAGATACTTTTTGAGGGCCTACTAAGTGCCAGGCAATATGCTAGATATACAAAGAGATACAAAGATGAAAAATGAAACAGTCTGCCCTCAAACCACTTATATTCTCAAAGGAAGGGGACATATACTAATTAGTGTACGTAATATGTAAGGGGATATGTACTAATTAGTGACTACAAACTATATCTAAATGTCAGACATTTAGGTGTATGGGGGTGGGTGGAGGCTCTAATAGGTGAGAGGACAAGGAAAGCCTTTCTGGAGGAGGTGGGCCTTAAGCTTGATGTAGGAGGAAGCTTGGAATTCTAAGGGGAAAGGCATTTCAGTCATGGCAGGCAGGAAGTACATAGAAGGCACAGAGATGGGATAGGATGTGGGATATGAGAAACACGTCAGAAATGTAGAGTATGTAAGAAGAAACGATACATCACTAGAGAGCGATAAGTTAGGAGCCAGATTGTGAAGGGCTGTAACAAAACAGAAAGGTGTGGCCATAGGGAGCCCCTGAAGCTTCTTGAACTGGCTGGTGACACAGTCAGACCTGTACTTTAGGAACATCAGTCTGGCTGCTGTGTGGAGGGTGATTGAGGAGGAGAGGAGAGAGATTGGGGACGGGCAGATCAATTAGGGGGCTATTTCAGTCATCCAGGTGAGAAGTGACGAAAGCTAAGGCTAGGACATTGTGTCTGAGAATGGAGAGAAGGACCTGGAAGCAAGGGATGTAGATGGTGTAGAAATGATAAGGCCGGGCAGCTGATTGGCGGTGGGAGGCTAGAAAGGGACAAGTAGAGGATGATGACAAGCTTGTGAAGCTGAGTGACTGCAGGGATGGTGGTGGCCTTGACAGAAATGGGACAGTTAAGAAGTGGGGACAAAGATAATGAGTTTGGTTTTGAGCATGTTGAATTTGAGATGCTGATGGAGTATCTAACGAGAGATGTCTAATAGGCCTTTGGTGATACAGACTTAGTCCTCTGGAGAGAGGCTGGGGATGAATATCTAAATCTGGAAGTGATCTGGGTAGAGGTGATAGCTGGACCCATGGAAGCTGATGAGATCACCAAGAGAAATGGTATAGGAAAAGAAGAGGGCTCAGCACAGAGCCTTGGGGTCATCTGCCCATTGTGGGGGGCGGGAGTAGAGATGACACAGCAATGGGGACTGAAGAGTGGCCTGACAGAGGGGGACAAACCAGGAGAGAGCGATGTTATGAAAACATAGGGAGGAAAAAGTACCTCCAGGAGAGGGTGGTCAACAATGTCAAATGTGCCAGAAACATTCAATAACAACAACATATTGCTAGCATTCATGTAGTGCATTGATGTTTGTAAAACACTTTACAGATACTACCTCATTTGATCCTCACCATAACCCTGGGAGGTCGTTGCTATTATTATCATTTTTAAAAAAATTTTTATTTTTAGGCAATTGGGGTTAAGTGACTTGCCAGGGTCACACAGCTAGTAAGTATCAAGTGTTTGGTCTGAGACCGCATTTGAACTCAGGTCCTCCTGACTTCAGGGCCGGTGCTCTATCCACTGTGCCACCTAGCTGCCCCTATTATTATCATTTTACAAATGAGGAAATGGAGGCAGAGGTTAAGTGACTTGCCCAGGATCACACAGCCAGTAAGTGTCCAAGGCAGATTTGAACTCAGGTCTTCCCATTTCCAAGTACAGTACTCTATTTACTAGATGTCAAGAAGGCTGGAGACTGAGAAAAGGCCATCATCAAATTTAGCTCTGAAGAGATCATTGGTAACTTTGGAGAAAACAGTCTCAGCTTATTGATGAGGTTGGATGCCAGCATGGTTAAGTGAGTGAGAGATAGTTCTAGAAATGTGGTCAGGAAAGGAAGTCGGGATATAGGATGCTAGTGAGGAGGATAGTAGGGCTGTTGTGGTCTGAGAGGTTGAGACCCCTCAAAGACTGGAGTACAGGACGGGGTCGTCTGGAATGAATTCACAGACTCAAGCATTCTTTAAGTCAAGGTGGCAGAGACTTATTGTTACACTTTTCAGCAGGCAAGGATTCTTAAGGAATCTGCGAGAGATTGAGAATGGAGCTAGGGTTTATATGGAAAAGGGCATGGGAAAGGAGGGATACTGATTAGGTAATCCAAAGATGTAGGTGTCTTTGGGAGTTATGGATGGGAAAGTACAGGGAGTATACCAGACAGGGAGGGAGATGATAGAGGTATGGATTTTGGGAGTCTGGCAGGAGGAAAAGTGCTTGGGCCAGCCAAGGACAAAACTCCTTGGGCTGGGCAAGGCACCCCTCTCCCTCTGTCTTGATGAGAGAATGCTCTGCAACAAGGGAAAATTTTCTCACAAGACAGGAGCTTACTAAGGAATTGGGAGGCTTCCAGAGACATGATCTGAGGGCTGGGGCCTGAGTAGCCCAGCACTCTCTCACCCAGCTTTGTGTAGCTGCACCAGGGAGAGAGATAAGGGTATTGCTGGGGCCCATGCATGAGTAATTGCTAGGCACGGTGACCTTGGGTTGGGGAGAAATTGTCAGAGACAGTATGTCTGAGATGAGGGAGAAATTGGGGTCCAAATACAAGCACAAGCACCCAAGCACCTCATCAGGGCCAGGAGAAGGTTTTTTAAAGTACCAGGAAGACCTGGGCTTGTTTGTAGACAATATGGAAAGAACCAGTAGTAACTAATATTCAGATCATGCTTCTGACGCTAGCTAGCTGTGGGACAGTGGGGATGAGGTCACTTAATTAATCTCTAGTCTCTGGGTCAAATGGAGATGAAGATACTAGTCAAACCTACCTCTTAGGGTTGCTCTGGGGCCCAAAGGAGATAATGCAAATTACTTTATAACCTTTAAGAGATATGTAAATGTAAGTTACTGTTTTATTAGATCACCTGTAAAATGGGAAAGATGATACCTCTTACCTTATCTGAACAACTCAAATTTTTCAGAAGCCCTATTTAATACAGACTTCTCTTAGAACATTTTCTCGACTTGATTCAAAAAATCAAAATGAACATGCTCTGAACAGTAGGTTGTCTCTAAGCTTTAGTAGCCTATTGGGCTATTAATATAATCTCAGTTTTAATCAGTATAAATTGCACAAAATTATTTTTTAAAAATGAAAAGAATAGGAAAGAAACTTTCATTATGTTTCTGTTATTGGGACATGGTCTGAGTATATTTGCATTTATTTGACCACTGGTATCTTTAGCCAGATCCTAACTTGAGACCAACTAGAATCAGACATAATTGTTATTATGTCTTAGGTAAAGAAACAGATATTGGACGAAGAAATCTATTGTTCTCCAGAGGTCACTGTTTTGTTGGCTTCATATGCTGTCCAGGCTAAGGTGAGTGTACAGAACTTATGTCTTTATTTTTAGTTTTTTTTTTATTTTAAGTTTAATGTCAGTGAAAAGTTGAATATTGCTTTTTACTGGATATAAAAAAACCACACACACCCCACTGAATGTTTACTGTAAAGAAACACGGTAATTATGTAAATAACCTACTTGGGGAGGATGAAATACATTTGATCAGTTCAGGTCTTTTTTTTTTTTCCCAGTCACGTCTGACTTTTCATGCCTGTATTTAAGGTTTATTGGGCAAAGATGCTAGAATGAGTTGCCATTTCCTTCCCTAGCTCATTTTGCAGATGAGAAAACTGAGGCAGGCGGGATTAAGTGACTTGCCTAGGGTCACATGGCTGGTAAGTATCTGAGGTTGGATTTGAACTCAAGAAGATGAATTTTCCGGACTCCAAACCTGGCGCTCTCTGCACTATGGCGCCACCTAGCCGCCCTTCCAGTATCTGCAGGACAATCATAGGTAGGGTTGGAGTACAGTTATCCCTTCCACGTCTTGATTTTCCCCATCAAGTTTCAATATATCGTTGGTCGGCGTGAGAAATTAAATGGGGATTTTTGGGGAGTTTTGTGGAAGTCACAGATGACATGTGAAGGCCAGCAGAAGACACAGAAAAAGTTTAGAAACTCAAAAATGCATTTGTACACACACACACACACA